GGTGATCCAACCGAATGCAAACATTTAACAAATTCACTATTGTTTCTTAAAGAATCTAATACCGGTTTTCCCATTCTAGTCATTATTCTCATTGAAGTAACAACATAAGCAGAATCAGTTATTTCAATACCAATTTTTGAAAGTGGTGAACCAACTGGCCCCATCGAATATGGTATAACATACATTGTACGACCTTTCATACAATTAGGAAATCTTAATCTTATTGCCATATTCATATCATCTGGTGATATCCAATTTCCTAAATTACCAGTTTCAAATAATTTATGAGTTGGAACAGCATCTTCTTTACGTTCTGTACAAATAAATGTTTTTGATTCAACACGTGCAACATCTCTTGGATTTGTTCTAGCCAACCAACAATTCTCATATTTTGGTAATGGTAATATAGTTCCATTTTCTTGTAATTTTTTTAATAATAAACGATTTTCACGTTCACTACCATCACATATATGTATATCATCTGGTTGACATAATAGAACAGCCTCTTCAATAAATGATTTAACTTCTGGTATTAAATCATTTGTTGTTCCATTGGTAACGATTACACCACGAATATGGTTTGTTAAACCGAAATCAGTTGGTGATTGATTACGTTTCTTTTCATAAATTGGAACGCTGTTAAAAAATAAAAAATTAAAAATGCAACTTTAATATTTTTGTTATAAAGAAATAAGCAAATTTCGAATTAATAAAATTAATATACTTACAAGGTTTGAATATTTTCATGAAATTCTGGCATTTTGTTGAGTTTAAATTTTATTTTTTTATAAAACTTTGCGATATTCTAGAATTTATTGAATTTTAAAAACTTGTTTAGAATTCTAACGAAATTCAATTTTTAATTTTTTTATTTAAAATTTTAATAATTATTTATTTATTGTGAAGCTTTATCAATATTCTTAAATTATTAACTTTAAATTTTTATTTTTGTTCCGCTATTTTGTCCCGTATAAAATATATTTCAATAATTTCAATTATTTCATTAGAAATATTAAAATTAATTTAAAAATTATTTTATTATAATATTATTGATTTAAAGCTCAAATATAAATGATTCTTAACAATTAGTTACTGGCCTTTTTATACCAAATATTCTAAGAATAAGACGCTTATTTTTCTTTCTTTTTTGTTTTGTTTTTCTTTCGCAAAAGAAAATTCTAAAACAAAATATTGAGGTATACAGGGAAAATAATTTTGTAAACATTCTTATCAATTAAGCGTTTCTAATAAAAATTTTTTCTTGTTTTGTATAAAAAAAATTTTAATGATAAGAGAAATTCGATGATGAAATAAAATTTTTAGTATTAGTATTAGTATTTTAGTATTAGTGCTAGTATTTTAGTATTAGTATTAATGTTCTTCTATACTTTTTAAAAATTGATAAAGAGGCTTGCCCAATTTTATAATCTAAAATTCTCCAAACTAACATTAAACGTTCTATAAAATGTTCATGTCATTGTAGATAATATTAAATTTTCTATTAATAAATTCGTTAGTAATTAATTTCGAATGTGTAGTGTCGTCATAACTGAACTTAGATTAAGTACTACACTATATTTTATGAACTTTGATTTTTTTTCCCATAAAATAGAGAATTATAAGTATAAATGTGAAAATATAAAGACAAAATTCCTAGAAGTGTTAAAATTTTAAGAAAAAAAAATTAATTTAAATTAACTATAATTTAAAAGTAACAACAACTTAATTTATTTAATAATTATACATTTGGATATACATACATTACATACATATGTAGTTCTAATATTCTAAATGTAAATAATTATGAAAAACAAATCAATTGTTTTCAAATTAAAAAAAAATAAATTTTTAAAAACGTGTAGAGCTATAAAGTTTATTGTTTTAAGCGTGTTCATTAAAAAAAAAAATCAATTAGAAACTAAAAAGAGTAAACAGTAAACAAATTGTTTATTATTTATTATAAGAAATTATCAATATTGAAGGCATAGTTTTTACAAGGACTTGCTATTTTCGTAAACACAATAAGCGCGTGTTATAGATTTCAAACGCATTTAAATTAAAGGTGCTGACTTAATTTGCTCATGCCTTACTTATACTATCAAATTTCTAAATAAATAATATTTTCTCGTATTTCTCGAATGTCCATTGATCATTTGATAAATCGAAATTTTCAAAAATAACATTTTCGGTAGATAATGAATAAGTTTTTTATAAACGCCCTCATAGTTCAAAAAATAGCTTTCAAACAATGATTTTGTTCTATAATATTGAAATACAGGTACAATATGATATGATATGAATTAAAAATTGCGTTCTATTTAATTTACCGGAAATGTTACTATTTAACTTTCTATATCTTCAATAGGTACTTCTTATAGAAAATTTAAACAATTCAAAAACACTTAAATATTTTGATAAGTATCAAATTTTAATTTCTTAAAATTTTCAAGTACCACTTTAATATTTGTATAAAAAAATTAATGTTCTATTACAAATTAAGGTATAGAGTTGTTGATAAACCGGTCGGATTATTGTAAAATATATTCGCATGCATTATTGTAATTTATGCAAAGGTGTTTTTTTTGAATAGTAACCAAAATATTGGTATTACCTGAAATAAAATGTGATAAAACTGTTGTTCAAGTTATACGCTAATATCATTATATAAGGAGTCATTTTTTTTTTATCCTATTTCGTTCCTAGGAGGAGCATAGGACTAGTGTATGATTATTGTAAATAACCATGAACCAGTTTCTGACTTCATTGAGTTTACTATAGGTAGATGACGAACCTACCGTAGTTTTTTTCTTTATACCGTATATAAGAGTCACTATTGACGACTCAAATACTTTTTACGAAACCCTATTACCATTTTTATTCAGCGGCTGCATTAAATTCAACACGTAATGTTAATATTTTCTAAAATTTGAATAAATAACTTTTGTATATCTAAAACAGCGGTTCAAAACACTGAACACGTAGTTTATTTGTTGAGTTATCGTGGGAATGTAAGAAAGATCAGCAGATATTACAGAATCGACTTAGAATCGTAATATATACTGGTACAAATTCTTTCTGAAACCGACTTTCTATTTAAATTAGAAATTTTAATGTCCCATAAATACTTTTACCTTTTACTGATCAACTCGCCAAATAAACCAATATTTAAAATTTAAATTATTATATAATATTCAAGTTCATAACATAAATTACTCTCACTCTACACCATGATTTCTACCAATAACTGTTTTCTTTCCTCTAAAATCACATTCAAAATTATTTTCAATTATCAATTACTAAAACTCCTTAAAAAAAAAGAAGAATTTTCACAAATATTTTTAATCCACTTTATTGTACATACATATGTATACGATTATGTGTGTACAGTTTTCATCCGTTTGCTCTTTAAATCAAAATACCAACAAATTTCACAGAACATAACACATAAAAGAGAAACTTTTTATTAAAATTTTTCTACGAATTCCTCGAAAAAAAAAAATCTAAATTCTAATCATAATTTGAATATTTTACAATATTATTCAATTTTAATTTTGCCCTAAATTGTTCAATCTCGCAAAAGGCAAAAATGAAATATAAATTCTATATTGAATAAACTAGGTTAACCCTAAGGATATTAATCTCTTCAATAAAGCTACTATTATTCAATATTTGGAATTTTTTTATCTTGTTATTCAAAGTGATGTTAGGCAGAAAAAAGGAACATATGTAAATGAAAAAAAAGGAGAAATCTAATGCAAACTATAGGATATCTTTAATATCTTACCTATAATACTAACTTTTCCGCCTTTAGATTCTTTCTAGTGCCTCTATACATCATCCATCTAATATTGTAAAATGACTTTCATTTAAGTGTCTAACATCATTCATTTATTATTGCAGTAATACTGTCGTTTATCGTAAAAGAACATTTAATTAGAAATGTTTACAAATACAAAGGCAGTATTCTAAGTACAGGGTGATTAAATTTAACTATAGCCGTCGAAATTTATATAATAAATTTAATTTTAAGTACCTACTATTTTAATCACATTTTCGGAAAATTTGATTTTAATAACATTATGTACAAAAATGAGTTTAATTTAATCTTTTTATCAAATTTTTAAATCTTATAAACTAAATATGACGCTTTTCATAACACTCATATACGAATTTTTCATACTATTATGATTACACAGAAAATAACACAGTAATCCTTGGAGTCTGTGAGTGATTTAAATATTTTATTCATCGCTTTTTTTGCTCAAAACTTTTCATTTTCATATTTCTGCTCTGTGGATAAAAGACTAAAATCAAATACAGTGGAAAAAAAAAACTTCTCTTTGTTTAGTACTGAATTGAGGTTATGAACTAAAAATAAAGTTGTGGGGGAAAAAATTTAAATATAAAAAAGGCGAACAAAAAAAATGTGAACTAATAATTGGAAAATTTGAAAAAAAAAATGAGCAAGCATATGTATACAAATAAATATATGGATGTATGCATTCTTGCAATTTTTGCAAATAAAAAAGCAAATTAATTGAAATACAAATTTACGAAAATTTTTATTCACATATGTATGTATGTGTTTTACAAGTAAGGAATCATAATATTTTAGACAATAAGCCATTAAAGCTACAATCTCTTTCTATTCAGAATTAAAAAACTTTTTACTTGGAATTTTGAAATTATGTTGATAATTTGTAATTAATTATTAAATATTCAACTCGCCAAAGAAAAAAAAATTAAATTCTAGCAAACTTGGATTTCCCATAAAGTGGGCGCATAACAGAATTTGGCAAAGTTATTGAGGGTATTCCTAATCCTTGCGCAAGTTATTTTAATTACTCAAATAGGACAAAAGAAAAATTAAAAAATTCAATAATTTAATTAAATTTTGTTTTATTTTTTTTATAAAAAAAAAATCTTATAAGCTTAAATCTAAATAAAGTCTTAAGTGTATTTGCATAATATACAAAAATTTTATATAAAAATAAAAAAAATTAACTATATATTAAAAATTTATTTATAAAGCTTCTATTCTTAAACCTAATTTTATTAATTCTTCATTAATTTCACTAGGCAAATCTGTATTAATTTGTTCATTAAAATATTTTTGAATATCTTTAATTTCTTGATTCCAAAAATCTTTTGGTATTGAAAATATTTCACTAATATTAACATTATATTCTAAATTATTTAAATTAAGACCATTTACAGTTGGAATTCTTCCAATTGCTGAATCTCTATAACATTCTTCACCATCAATTCGTCTTACAATCCAATCTAAAACTCTTGAATTTTCACCATATCCTGGCCACATAAATTTACCATCACTACCTTTTCTAAACCAATTAACATGGAAAATTTTTGGTACATTTCCACGTTGCTCCATACTTAACCAATGTGATAAATAATGACCGAAATTATAACCAAAGAATGGACGCATTGCAAATGGATCATGCATTATTACTTTTCCTTGATGTTCAGCAGCAGCTGTTGCTTCACTACGCATACAAGCACCAATAAAAACACCATGTGTCCAATTATTTGCTTCATATACCAATGGAACACCAGCTGGTCGACGTCCACCAAATAGAATTGCACTTATTGGTACACCTTTTGGATCTTCCCATGCTGAATCAATTATTGGACAATTTGATGCTGGTGTACAAAAACGTGAATTTGGATGTGCAGCTGGTTTACCAGAATTTTTATCCCATGGTTTACCTAACCAATCTGTTATTTCAATATTCTCATCAATTTCATTTTCCATTCCTTCCCAATAAACGCCACCATCAGATGTAGAAGCAACATTTGTGAATATTGTATTTTTAAAGATTGATTGCATAGCAATTGGATTTGTTGAATTTGATGTTCCTGGTGCAACACCAAAGAATCCATTTTCAGGATTTATGGCACGAAGTACTCCTTCGGAATCATATTTCATCCAAGCAATATCATCACCAACACATTCAATTTTATATCCAGGTAATGTTGGAGACATCATTGCTAAATTTGTTTTACCACAAGCTGACGGAAATGCAGCAGTTATATATTTCTTTTCTCCTTTAGGGTTTGTAATACCCATAATTAACATATGTTCAGCCAACCAACCTTCACGTTTAGCTATTGTACTACCAATTCTTAGAGCAAAACATTTCTTTCCTAATAATGAATTACCACCATAACCAGAACCATATGATACAATTAAATTTTCTGATGGTTTATGCAATATAATTGTGCGTTCTGGATCACATGGCCATGATTCCATTTCAATAATACCATTTAGCGGTTTACCAACAGAATGTAAACATTTTACAAATTCTCCATCATTTCTTAAGTGATCTAAGACTTCTTTTCCCATTCTAGTCATTATTCTCATTGAAGCAACAACATAAGCTGAATCAGTAATTTCAATACCAACTTTTGAAAGTGGTGAACCAACTGGCCCCATTGAAAATGGTACAATGTACATAGTACGGCCTCTCATACATGCAGGGAATCTATCTTGAACTGCTTTTTTCATATCTTCCGGAGAAATCCAATTTCCAAGAGTTCCTTTAACGCCATCTTGTGGTGTTGGAATTGTATCATTTATGAAATCAGTGCAAATAAAAGTTTTTGATTCTACACGTGCAACATCTCTTGGATTTGTTCTAGCTAACCAACAATTCTCATATTTTGGTAATGAAATAATTGTCTTTTGATCACATAATTCTTTAATCAAATAACGATTTTCACGTTCAGTTCCATCACAGATATGTACAGCATCTGGTTGACATAATAAAACAGCATCTTCTACGAAAGATTTAACTTCTGGAGTAAGATCATTTGCAGTTCCATTGGTGACGATTACACCACGAATATGGTTTGTTAAACCGAAATCAGTTGGTGATTGATTACGTTTCTTTTCATAAACTGGAGTTCTGTAAAATTAAAGAATTAAATTTAATTATTTTCGAATTTTTCTAATTTAATCTAAAATTTCTAAATTCTGAAATTTTACAAAATTTTTGTAATACTTACAAGTTTGAAACTTTCTCTATGAATTCAGGCATTTTAGAAATTTATTTGTTTTCTCGTCAAATTAAAATTCTTTAAAAAATTGTCTTTTTTTTTAAATTTGGAAATTTTTTTGAATTTCACTGTAGCTTCTACAACTTTGAGTAATTTCAAAAATTCAATATCCTTACTATTGAATTTTCACTTTAGTAATTTAATATTTCCTGTATTATTTCCTTTTCACTATTATTTCCACTAAGAAAAATTTTCTTTTCAAAATTTTTTATAATATTCAAATTCTTCAAATATTTTTTCGTTTTAATAATTTACGTAATTTCTCTTGTTGTTGTTGCTTACTATCCATACCTTGCTAGACGAATTGCTAATGATCTTTCCTAGTTGTATTTCAGTCTTTTTATACCAATTATCAGGCGATTAGTTGCTATACGAAAATAAAAATAAAAAATCGCTTTTTTTTTGCCATCATACTATCTATAAATTGTTCAATTGCCATTAGTATACGATCGTTTATACCATAATCCAAAAAACTTATCTACACACATACATATGTATGTATAATATAGGAACATAAATATAAGCTATAAACGAAACAAATTATCTACTACTAAAATAGAAGAACGAATTTGTTGGATGAAAGAAAAGAAGTGTAAGAAGAATGGAATATTCTTATAAAGAGAATAAGATAACGAACAATAACGTAGCATATTTTAGTAAAGCTACTATAAATTGTGACGTTTCTATATATACATTCATATATTATAATAGAAACATCAGAACAGATATCACCACGCGTTTTTCATTTCTATTCTTTACCAATAAATTGAACAAAAGCTCTTTTGGTTTTAGGGGGCTTGTCTTCTACTAGTACAATCACGAAACACAACGGCGTATTATCCATATAATATTATTTATATGTATAAATTGTGTGATATGTGTACATATATGTAACTTCAATTATATGGACATATTTAAAGATAATTATGTACATTTGTATGTACTACGTCGCCTATACAGTCGCAAAAATGAAATATAACGCAATTTTATATAAAAATTTTACGATCACTTTTAGAACATTTAAGAATCAACGAGAAAATATAAAACCAGTTTAGAGGTTACCAGTTTTATCTGTATTTTGTTTTCAATTTCAATTTTTATCTGACATATTATGTATTTACATACATATGTATGTTCGTTATGTTTTATACTTACTTTTGAAGATATATGTGTATTCAAAACTGTATATTTGCATTTACACAGAGACGAGAAGAAGTTGATATTTTTTAGAGAACAAAATGTTTTAATGCTTCCTTTTAAAAATGCAGTAATGATTTGTATTATGTATTTTCAATTTATATACATACATACATATTATGTATGTGTATTAAATTTTTGTATATAGCACAATAAAATTAAGCATTCTTTCTCAAATACAATGAAAATACTAGCTTTGAAAGAGTTATCAAAATTTTGACATTGGTGGTCAAAAACTTGAGGATATTTGGTAAACACAACTTGTAGAGTACGCATAACATACATATACAAATCCAAATATATCGGCTATAGAGTATCTAGTTCCGTAGACTACAAAGTTTTGTACTATTACGAATATAGTATAGATAACAGCGAATTCGATTACCCTATCATCGTTACAGTTTTGTAGGAGAAAGCTAGTTGATTACACTTGATTACACTACTTCGAACTGGTGAAGTAAGTACTGAAAATGCAAATAATATAGTGTAAGATAATTATGAAATTAATTTTATGCAACCTTTTTTGGACAACATGGCAATTTTTTATTGTTTTATTTATTTCAACCATTTTCCGGAGAGAAAATCAATCCACATCTTTGCAACTCTACATTGCTATATAGAAAAACAATTTTCAAATGTATGAAATTAACAAGAAAATTTAAGACATTAACCTTTTCACCTGGTCCATTTAACATGTTGATACATTTAACTATCGATTTTACTTTTTTATATACATATATATATATATATATACATACACATTCATATGGAGATACATAAATATTTTGAAATGCATTTCTATTTCAATTTAATTTTTTTTTTACTTTTATAAATTCATGACGTAAAACCGCAATTTTCTTTATTAATTTTTTAGCTATATTTTCCTATAGATTTTTGCCCCATATATGATACTAATGTTTTTTTTTTTGAAGTAAAAGATGAAAGAAAAAAAAATATCATCTCGAACATCATAGAAGATATTTACTATTCCATTTAGTTTGTAATTGGTATTGCACTTATTACGCAGAGAAACTCAATGATTACAGGTAATTTTAAAATAAAATCATGGTTTAAAATCATAGAATATTTATATAGAGTGAATTTTTCATAATATCCTGATTTTTAAAGGGTTCATTTCTGAAATTACCATATGATTTTAATAATTTAATTAAAAAATTATATGTTTGCCAATATAATTTAGCTTTGGAGTAAATTGTGGGCACAAAGAAAATATTAAAGTAAATGGCCCTTATAAAATTGTTATAAATGAAGATTACTAATTGCATAAGTATATATGTATGTACATATAGTAACTCTTTTTAATATATTATGATAAAATATTTACTGAAATTATAAATTTACTATGGATTTAAGGCTTTACCCAAGAAAATTGGCACATCTTTTAAGATTATTTCACTTCCGTCATAGCAACTATTCCATATGTTATGCATTAGATTCTGTTTCTTATTTAATAAAATACAACAAACAATAGTTAGCTTAAATTATTTTTGTAATATAGAATTTCAAACTAAAATTCTTTGCTTCAGTTTCCATTTTGGTGTAAAATATTTTTAAAATAAGCATTTCGGTTATGTACCTACGTCTATATTTTCTATAAAACCATATGCTTTCTGGTAATTGTTATTCACAAAAAACCTACTTATCAATTTCTGCATATACGAGTATGAATTTTAAATCCAATCAATCTTTATGCTACAATATTGACGGAGAACAAAATGTACATATACTCGCAAAAATTTTTACATTTTTCTGATAACATTCTATTCAAATATATTTGATAAATCCCTTAGAAATAACTCATAAGAATTTGGCACGTTATTTCGTAAGCTTAGAAAACAAAAATAATGCTATGGTCTGATAATTCATGACGTACACATAACGTTAACCAATAAAAATTTCACACTTTACAATTTCTCTCTAATTAAAATAGCAAAAAAAAAACAGAAAACAAATTTAATTTTGTGACTCTTAATTGACCGTAGGTACGAAAAAATTAGCTTCAGGAACGTTCTTTATTTTGATTCAGAGAGCATCAATCTTTAAATTTGTCTTTTTTTTTTATCAATTTTTGCTTTCAATACTTTTAATTAATATTTTTATAATTAATAATTGACGTCAATTCTATTGAAATGTGTGTAGTTACTAGTAATAGAAGAATAAAATTGTGATAATTTTTTCTAAAAAAAAATTTGAAAAATTTCATAAAATGTCACATAAGGGTCGCAAAATACCAAAAAATAATATCAGAATACCAAAAAATCAAAACAATTGAAATTCATTTGGTTGTGCATTAAATATTTTTTATATTCGAATGACTTACTAAATAAGTTATTAAATAAATAAATATGGAAGTAAATTATGGATATGGAAATTTTAAAACAAAAATTATATTATTTTTACCAGTTTTTTTAATCAGCAGCTCCACTCTTCATCTTTTATACGATACATAACTTAAAAACTTAATTTACAAAAAATTATAAAATTTGTGAATTATATTATTATTGTTACTTATTATTACATATGTATATACATACATGGGAATAGAAATGACAAATAACTATGTTATGGAATAAGGAAGGTTTTAAGTAGCACTACCAAAAGAGAAGATTTATATTTAAAATGAAGGTTTTTTGGTCATATTTTTTGTGCTAAACTTCATAATAAGATTTTTAAAATTCTTAAATTTTACATACAAAAAAATTTTCAAAATTAAGATTTTTTAAGTGCTATACTGATTTTATGGAAAAAAAAACATTTTGACAAAAAAGTCAATTTAATAGCCACTCATGGTAATACTACTTTCATGACAGCAAATTTTTAATATTCTCCGCTGCAATTTATTAATTCTATATTAATTAAGTTGTTGCACTAACTAAATGCTCATACGGCTTATTATATCATATGACATTGTGCACATCATTAATTATGTGGTGTGTAATTTGGTTCGAATTGAAATCGTGATATTTTGACTTCCTACTTTTTTCACTTGAACTTCAATTGAAGATCTGCGAATGGGTTCACGATGAAAACTTTTTTTTTATCGAATCTTCAAAATGAAGATTTTATTTTAACAAAATTAAGATATTTTAGACTATTTGGCAGTACTAGTTGTAAGTAGAAATAATATAGAAAAAAATACTCAATTAATCTTGTTTGTTCAGATTAAATCACAAAGCAAAATATAGTAATGATTTCAATCATAATCTTAAATTTTAGGTCTTGTAAAATATAAACACTAAAATTTTAAGCATATTGTCATGTTTACCTATCCTTGCAACCAATAGATGTGCATAATACTCGTATCTTTACTTTGCCCAGTTATTTAGGCTATATTAAATAAAAACTTTTAAAGTAAGTAAATAAAAATTTCACTTTTTCAAATTTTTTTTCTAAAAACTCTTTATAAAGTTCAATGTTATAATTAACTAAATAAAAGTGGGTAATTTTTATTTAAAACTTTTCAACTAGTATAATCTTCTCTGTATTCTAAGGAAAATATAAATCCCTAACACATTCATGAAAAATATGTGCACAAAACAACATGATTGTAATTATAATTACCTATACACTTCATTTAATAATTTTTTGTACTTTGTACTTAATCAATTTTTTGCTAATCATTATATTATAACTTTTTATCAAATTCATTTTATAGGTACTATCTAACAATTTATTATTTTCATTAGAATTATTAATTTCATTAAGGAATTGAAATCGAATCATAATATCAAATTTCCCCAAACAACGAACGAAGGCACGTCTATATTTTAAGTCATTATGTACATTATTATCTATTTACCTATAAACCTTAAAATATGTTTACTTAAAAATATTTTAATAATAATAATAATGACTCACAACTTACTTATTACATAGCAGGCATACTCAATACTCAATAACATTCAATTAAATTGTTGACTAATTGAAGAGATTGTCGATAAAAAAATCACGTTTTAAAGTCAACACTACAAAGTTTTTTTTTTTTATTTTTGTTAATTTAATTATGCAGTTAGTTGGACTTTATTCTTTACATGATCTAAATAATTATAACTTAGAACATTTATTGTTAGCGTAAAGGTATACTCACTAAGTACAAAGATTACTGAAACAATTGCACTTTTGAAAATAATCCCGTTTATTATAATTAAAGGAATTGCTTTGTTTTATTTTCCTTGAATTTGGAATACTGTTAGTATATTTAAACTTTATTAATTTAATTATTATCTACATTTTATTATTAAATATTTAAACTAAAACTAAATAACAATCTCTTGGAAAGTATTTTTCTAGTATTTAAGTTCAGGCTTCAAACTCCAATTTATGGCAAAAAAGTTGTTGTTTTTATTTTTTATTTTAACATTTATATTTTGACAGTCATTATGACATAAAAAATGTCATGCATTTTACATTATGACTTTTTATGCGGCAGCTTAAATATTTGCAATCAATCAAATTCTCATTTCTATTAGAAATGTTCAAAACTGAAAGAGATAATATTGTAATATTATAGAAATAATATTACTCCAGTGAGCGCTCAGGCAGATATACAACTTTTAGGTTTGCAACTGTTTGATTGCTTATTTGTATACCGTCGTACGTTTATATTCAAGCGCACATACAAATGCGACTGTATGATCGCATGCAATTAAGTAATCAAACAGTTTGTAATTTTTTACCATCTGATTGAAATTTAGTAATTTCATATAGTTTAATTGCTTAAGTCTGCCCCCAATTAATTTGCAATCAATCAGTAATTGCAAAATTAAAAATTGCATGTCTGCCTGAACTTTTACGGTCAGCTTTAAAATACAAATTTTCGATAACAAATAACTTGATACCAGCTGGTAAAAACTTGAAATTGTTTTGTCATACTCGTATAAAATAAAACATTAATTTCATTCTTTATTTACTAATTTATGTTCGTATTGTAATTAATTCTATCTGATCTACGTATATGTATGTACATATTTATTAATAATACAATATAAACATTGTCTGTATGTAATACAATAAATATTGTCGTTACTGTTACTTAATACTTACTTAAACAAAGAAATGAACTTTGTAATCACTGTAAATGACAAGGAATTTCCTTATAAAGTCTTGTAAAAATATCAAGTTGACATAGAAAATAAAAATTAAACAAACATTCACTTACTATGTATAAGGCATGTACATGCTTACATACATATATTTATTTTACTAAGTAATTGTTAAAATAGAATTTTTTTCTTTAACCTATTTTACCGATTTTAAGAATTTTTCCTTTATTACTTGCTGAGTATTATTGTAGAACAATTATTAAGTTGAACTTTGACAATTCTAGATCTTTATTAATGATAAATTATATTCAGTTAAATATTATATTTTGGATTAATGCCCTTTTATATGTATGTATGTGTACTTGTACTATAATTTGAAATCGTCTATTCTTCTTTTTTTAAAAAAAAAATAAGTCTTCCACATAATTCAAATATGTATGTATATGTGTCTACTATTTAGTCTAGAATTTAGAAAATATTTCTAGTATATTGTAGTTTGAATCGGCACCAAATAGTAATAATATTAAATTAGCATTGATATTTTAATGATAATGCAGAATCTGTTGTAATGTACAAATTATAATCTGTCTGGACAGAGGTAGTAAAAAATTTTAATGAAAAGCAACACAAAAAATTTTGCCTCATTTTATAATTATAAAAAATATATTATAACGCCTTTCAAATGTTATGTGTGGGTAGATTAATCTGAGCGAAACAAAATAAAACGTCTAAGGTACCAGTAATGACAGACGAAAAAGATATTAAACTGTATAAGTGTTATAGCTTACATTACGCTAAACATGTAACAGTACAATACATTTCTTAATTCAAGAAAATTTACAAAATTTTTATAAATTTTAATATTATAGCTCAATTCAAGAATAAAATAATTTTATATGCATAGTTTCCAAATTCTTATAGACATATTGCAGACTTCTGAATTTTTGGTAGGGAAAAACCATTATACAATTACAAAACTTTGCTAATATGGCTTGTTAAATTATTAAAAAAATTTAATAGAAGTGTATTCTATAAAGGTATGTTTTTTTAAATACATATCAGACATCACAATTGAGACACTCATCTACAAAATTATTTAAATTTTTTATTATCAGTATAAAAAAAACAATATAAGTCAGACATTATGAAAAAAAAAAATTAATTTAAAATCGTCAATATCATTATCACAAAAGTATTTTAAAAAATCTCGTTCCTTTTCCATATGATAGCATTTTTAAATAATCTATATAAATTTAAACTACAAAGAATAACGCTTCTTTTATTTGTATCAATTCATTTTTAATTTCTGGCGGCAAATCCTTTCCAAATTGTTCTTCAAAATATTTTTGGACTTCCTTGACTTCTACGAGCCAAAAGAATTTATCTAAAGTAAATAATTCCTTGAAATCTACTTTTTCTTTTAAGCCATCAGTTCTAATTGAGTCAATACGTGGCATTTTTCCAATAACAGTGTCAACATAACAATTTTCACCATCTATACGTCTTAAAATCCAGTCTAATACTCTTGAATTTTCACCAAAGCCTGGCCATAAAAATTTTCCATCTTCGCCTTTTCTAAACCAATTAACATGGAAAATTTTTGGTACTTTTCCACGTTTCTCCATACTTAACCAATGTGCTAAATAATGTCCAGCATTATAGCCAAAGAACGGTCGCATTGCAAATGGATCATGCATTATTACTTTGCCTTTGTGTTCAGCAGCAGCTGTTGCTTCACTCTTCATAGAAGCTCCAACGTATACTCCATGTTTCCAATTATGTGCTTCATAAACCAATGGTACTCCTTCAGGTCTCCTTCCTCCAAAAAGAATTGCACTTATCGGAACCCCTTCAGGATCTTCCCATGCTGAATCAATTATTGGACATTGAGAAGCAGGTGTACAAAAACGAGAATTCGGATGAGCTGCTGGTTTTCCAGAATTCGGATCCCAAGGTTGACCTAACCAATCTGTAACTTGAACATTTTCAATTTCTTTTTTATTCATTCCTTCCCAATAAACTCCTCCATCAGATGTAGAAGCAACGTTAGTGAAAATTGTGTTCTTAAAAATTGTCGCCATAGCAATTGGGTTTGTTTCTTTTGAAGTTCCTGGTGCTACACCAAAAAATCCATTTTCAGGGTTAATGGCACGAAGTACTCCTTCGGAATCAAATTTCATCCAAGCAATGTCATCACCAACACATTCAACTTTATATCCAGGTAATGTTGGAGTCATCATAGCTAAATTTGTTTTACCACATGCAGATGGGAATGCCGCAGCTATATATTTTTTTACACCTTTCGGATTAGTTATACCCAAAATCAACATATGTTCAGCCAACCAACCTTCACGCTGGGCTATTGTACTTCCAATTCTAAGAGCGAAACATTTTTTCCCTAATAAAGAGTTTCCACCATATCCAGAACCATAAGATGCAATAAAATTTTCTGAGGCTTTATGTAAAATAATTGTTCTTTCCGGATCGCATGGCCACGATGGCATATTCACTTCGCCATTTGATGGTACTCCAACAGAATGTAAACATTTTACAAATTCATCTTTTGATCTTAATTGTTCCCAAACTTTATTTCCAATTCGTGTCATAATTTTCATTGATTGCGCCACATATGGTGAATCTGTGATTTCAATACCAATTTTCGATAACGGTGACCCTACTGGACCCATCGAATATGGTATAACATACATTGTACGATTTTTCATACAACCTGGAAATCTTTCTGCGATTGCTTTATCCATATTTTCTTCAGATATCCAATTACCTAAGGAACCAGTAACACCCTCTTTAATCTTTGGAATGGCTTGACTTTTTCCTTCAGTGCAAATAAAAGTTTTTGATTCAACACGTGCTACATCTTTTGGATCAGTTCTAGCTAACCAACAATTTTCATATTTTGGTAATGGTGAAATAGTACCAGCTTCACTTAAAGTTTTTATGAGTAAATCATTTTCCGTGTCGCTTCCATCACAAATATGTACGTATTCAGGTAGACATAATGAAACGGATTCGTTGAGAAATTGTTTTGCATTCAATGTTAAATTATTAACATCACCATAAGATAAACTGACATGCCTTATTTGTGGTATTAAATGCTTGTACTGTAATTTATATGCAATACCAATCAGGTTTAATCTGTAAACAATTAAGATAGTGGCATTAGTTTATAATTGACAAATACATATTTATTTTAATTTTAATAATATTAATAGTTTGCTGTTTATTATTTAATCAATGTAAGTCGAAACTAGAGACAAGTGCTTTAATTTTCTTAAATCTGCTTTTATATACGTTATGTATATTGGACGAGATTTTATTAAACAAATTACTTAACGATTCAATTGAAAACTTAAACGAAAATTTTACTGATTTCAATATTTTCGGAATAGTTTTGCATATTTACCAACAAAGTAATGATAACCAACAAAAATATAGTGGCAATATTAAATATGTATTTAGAAATTGGAACTATTTTAAAAACCACTCAAGGTCAACTAGCCGGCAAAATATTTGATAATACAATTTTTTTTTAATATTACAAAATTTCAATATACGAATGGAAAATTTTTACTTTAGATTATTTTGTATCGCTTTATTTAATAAACTAATACAAAGAAAGCAAATTAATACTAATCTATACAAAATAAAATATAAACGCTATAGGAGAAGCATCTTTTACAGAAAATATGATGCAATTTTTCGTTATACATTTCATCATGCTTCTTATTTTTTATGGTATTTCTCTTCAACATGTAACACGAATTTTCTAATTTACATTTCTATCGTTCAGTGTCTTTCACAATTTCTGCTTTATTATGCACTTGCAGATCATTTCTATTATTTATGTATGAGTATAATATGTACATATGATAATATAATTGAGTGATCGCACTTGTGAGTATTAAAAATTTTCAATGAAATTGTGAATTAAACTGTGAAAAATTAATATTTATACCTACATCTATAAATACACTATAATGTTATATAGTTAACTTATGTTCTGACGCTCTGCAGAATTTTCAACATACAGATTATTGATGTACATTAAAGAAAAATAATTTCTTGGATAATTTATATTATTATAATAGAGCAAAACATTTTATGCTGATATTCGTATGTTTGTATAGATAATATGGCAAAGATATTTTACTTTTTTCTTAATTATACAGATTTGTAATTAAATTAAAATAATTTAATTACAATAGTGTTCCCACATGTATGTGTGTATGGTACATACACGTTTTATATCAATAAGAGATACATTATGTACTACTATTAACGCAAACATTGGAATTAAAAAGTAGGCAACTAATATTTATTTCAGTTGAAAAGTAAAATAACAAAAAACAAACATTGTTTTTTTAGAGAAACTTAAGACATTGAACTTTAAAAAATTTAAACTTTGACCTACACACAGCATAAAAATTTTACAAACTTTTGTGTTTGAATAAAACACGTTTGTATACAAAATAGAAAATAAGTTTGTAAAATATTTAAGAACGTACATACATACATATACATATATGAAAATGTTGATTAATTTCTGCTTTAGATTCCAATAAGTACAAGCAATACGTAAGAGAATCTTACTCTATGAATCTGAATGAGTAAATTCATCTGATATAAGACTCAGTGTAAAAAATTAAATACCAATTAGGAAAAATATTATTGAAAAAAATTATTTTCAAAATGTAGTGAAAATTGAAATTGTTTGAAATTTTTAGCGTGTCCCCCCAAAATATCCCAGAACTTTTATTACTGACCAAAAATGCCTTCTAAAAGGATAGGAATGGCAAATATTTGACATAAAAATAAAATGGCCTTACTTTAATGTCAAATTTAATTAAATAAAAATTGTTTTTATTATTCACATATAAATTTAAAATAATCACACTAATTTTATTTTAATAAAAATATATGTGAATGAAATTTTAAGAAAAAATTACGATGAAAGAACATTTTGTTTTTTTTTTTGTTATTTCTTCTTGTTAATAAAGAACAACGCGCGAAAATATCAAAAAATTCCTGTTCTTAGATAATAAATTATATTAACGTAAAATTTGGAACAAAGAGAAACAAAGAAATTTTAAAAATAGAAATTTAACAAATTTTTATATATTTTTTTTTCTTAATATTATTCTTATCTAACGAGAAATTCTGATCATAATATTGTATGCATAAATTATAATATGCTATACATTAAAATATAAACGAGAAAAAAAAACCAAAATAAACCATACATGACATATATATATTAACTATAATCATTCGCGACCTTGACTATATTTGTGTATACATACACATGCACTATATAAAAATTTAAAAGTAGCAAATCTAAGAATAATTATAAATGAATTTAAATATTTTAATTATAAAAAATTTCAATTATTCATATTATAGGTCAAGAAAGTCTACTAAGCCTAAATGATATTATATTTATATTCTATCTGTAATACGACTATTCAAATTATGTTCTATAAACTAATATTAGGTCATTTTAATGACAGAAAACATGTCTTACTAGTTTAATTTTCCATAAATACTAAACATAAATAAATAAAATAAATTACTTATAAATTAAATTTTTATGAAAAAAAAAAACGAAATATGATTGTGACATAAAATTAATTTGACTTTCTCGACAATATACTAAATGTCAAAATAATAACCTTACATATTTTAAATCTATCATATTCGTTTGTTCAAAGTCAATGTAAAAATTTAGTATTTCCTCAGTTTTTTTTGTCAAAGCTATTATATTACGCTTCAAACTACCTTAAATCGTTGGAACACTTCTTATGTACAGGATGTAAGAAACTTTATAACACAAAATGTAAAGTTTCTTACATCCTGTACATTTCCATGTAAAAATAAAAAGCTATTCACCAGAATTAATTACCGTAATTATTCATTTCAACTGTATGCAAAAAGTAGGCTTCAAATAAATAGACCTATTTAATATTTGCGTTTTAATATACCTTAACATTACCGGATTAGCTGAGTATAGTTTGCAAATGGAACTAATTAAACATATTGCTATAGTTTTGATAAAACGTATCCAGAAAAATTTTAGACAATCGGGAAAAATACGCAAAGCGTATTTTTTTGTTAAATTTGAAAAAAAATTAATTTTTAGACATGAGTGTACAATTAATAATATTGTTTTATTAAAAAAAAAATAACATGGTAATTAAACAAGATTTTAAAACGGTGTTTTTTTTTTTTTTTTTTGCGAATATTAAAGATGAAATATTCTAAATTTAGAACAAAAATTTATTCTTAAATCTAGTAAAGAATGATTTCAAAATGAATTACCAGAACATTATTAAAGAAATAAGGAAGTATTCTATGAAATTTAAACTATAATCTTACTGACATAAAAAAAATTTTCAATTATGAAACTGATTCTAGAATTTCAACAATCCTAATTATTCTATCGTATACATATATACTATCGTATATATACTTAATTTTAATTCAATTTTATAACTTGATATTCAATTTAAAGTTAATTATGATCCGCAATAAATATAGTTGATCCCCAATATATTCAATAAATTAATGTAACATATACAATTTTGCATACAATATTTTATATATATATATGTAGTATATTCTATATATATAATATATGTGCTGTATTTAGCTCTGTCAATTCTTTTTATGAACCAACAATATGTCATTTTTATTACTCACAAAAAAATTCTTAATCTTGTTTAAATTCTACTTTGTAATTTCGAAAATTCTCTCTGCACTCAATTTTTTTATAAGTGCTTAATAAATTTTAACCTTTCTGCAGGACACAAAAAACCTCTACTTAATTAAAAATTTTTATTTCTTTATTAATTTTATGATTTTAGAATAATAAACTTTTTTTTCACATATTTATAGTTTACTATGTTAGATAACAACTTTTTGCTTACCATTATTATATTAATGATTCAATATAAACATTCAAATTTTTCGGAAATCCGGTTTCCTTTATTTATAAAAATTCGAAATTGAAAGTCAAAATAGTTGATGATTTCTTAAAAATATTAAAGTAAAAATCCAAAAAATTATAAAACTTTTTAATTTTTTTTAAATTAATTTTCAAATACATTCGAAACACGCCTCCAAACTTGCCTCCGATTTTATAGCCAAAAAAAAAAAGAATAATAAAATAGAGTGCTTTCTTATAGAACAAAAACTTGTTCACCTTGGAAAATTCCTTGAAAAATTTCATATAACAAAAATATTTACTGCAAAAATTCCAATTTTATTATAAAGCAAAAATATATTTTCTAATGAAAATAAAATTAATATTTAAGTAATGTATATGAATACTAAAGTAATAATACATGGTGTTCCATTATTATTCTGAAGTTCGACCGACTTTTTTGAACTACAATATATTTTTATAATGGTTCATTCCCAATTTGAAGTTCGACCGACTTATGTCGCATTAATAATAAATTAGTAATAATTAATATTGCTCTCAAAGCAAAATGCGAATTGCACTATGTACTCAAACTTGTTTTCAATTTATTGTTTAAAAATCGCTTTTTATATTTTCGAAATTAACTTGTTTTAATTTGAATAACTCTTTATTATGAAAAACCATTCCGTTACAATTACAAAAGGGAAACAGTTGCTTTTATTCACTCATTATCCTTTAAATGACATTAAAATTTAATCATGAAATACTCTGCACGATTATTTTTATAATAAAGTAATAACACTTATAGCCAATAAGATAATTTATATACGATTAAAGTTTAAGTAAAGTCCAAAATTTATTTGAAATTAATATACAAAAATTTTATCACAAAGTCATAAATAAACAAGTAAACAAACAAGTAAATAAAATTATACAAGTAAACAATAATTGTATGTACGTATGTAAAATGGCAAAAAAAGTATGTGTATTAGGTGCACAATTAAGAGCAATTTTAAAATGATAAAAGATGATTAAAATATTTTGCAATTAATTAAATTTAAAATTTTATATAAACAGAAAATTTTCTTTTGATTTCAATAATTTTAAAAATCAATTTGTAGCAACACTTAAGTAAAAATAATATAAACAAATTATACAAACTCTCATACAAATAAATTTTTTCTAGAAATTTTAAGACAAAAAAATGCAATGTGGG